TTATTATAGTTTATTATTACCAATAGTAAAAAAAATAATACAAATAAAAATTAATAATAAAATATAAAAAAGTAATAATATAAATAATTAATACGAATAAAATACAAGTAATTAATAAAAATAATAAATAAAAATAAATTAATAAACGTGATAAGAAAAATATTAAGAAGAAAAAGAACAATAATAATTAATAATTTTAAAATGTCAAACTCAAAGTGCAAATTAAAATTGACTAAAGCGGAAGGAAGAAATACAAACAAAAGAACGCGCAGGCGCATTAGGCAACCGCACACGACGAAACCGTCAGCTAATCAGAGTAGCGGTAAGTCCCCTCAGGCTAAATGATGATAAAAATTTTGTGAATAGATAAGAAGGAAACTATTTGAAAAATCCGACTATCAAGATATCTGGAAAAATATTCTTTAAGAATGCAGCAGAACCATTATCAGCAGAAAACTAGTTACGTTCCATCAACGCCGATCGGACCACGAACTACCACCAGTCAAGATGAATGAATGTCCCCTCGAGGAGGCTTTTTTTTTTTTTTTTTTTTTTTATTAAAGTAGGGTTCACTCTGTGCAAGGCCCGGGGGCCACTCGAAGTAGAGAGTTACATTAAGAGCCGGTGTATGTGAAAAGGAAAGAAAGATAACGGTTGACTCTAGAGTTGAGCAGATTAAGATTGCATTGATTGGGGAAACACTCTCTCGGGAGTCGGTTCCACAAAACAGTGATTCGCGGAAAGGATCTGTACGAGTGGAATTTACTTATCACTAATATAACACAGAGGAACATGAAATGTGGGTGATATGCTACAATGTGAGTGACAAGGCGGGCCCTAGCTGTGAAATTTATAACTTGCGGAACCAAAGAATGTGGTTAATCCGAGCACTATCCTTGAAAGCAGTAAGAGGCTTGCCACATCCTGTAAGTACTTGACCCCTCGTGGAGAAAAGGCGTTCCTCAGTAGGGATCGAATACTTATAGATAGACATAATACACACTGTTTGATAAATATAAATGGGAGATCTATTTCAAAGCCGCCTATCATTAATTAATTAGAATATTAACGTTTGCACTGGTATATATATATATATATATATATATATATATATATATATATATATATATATAGCTGGCTACTCGTATTCGAGGATACCCGTCAGCCAATCCCGATTGCAGACGCTTGCTCAGGCTCATTTGTATTTATTCAACACCGACAGAGCCCACTAATAGTTTATACTGCAACTTAGTTACAGTTTCTGGGAAAGAGCGTGTTATCTAGCGTGATCAACAAGTTCAATAAGGCCAGCACGCTCAAGCTATCGGTCATCATGACTTGTGACTCCATGCTTGCACAGCTTTCGCCGGTACCCAAGTCTACCCAATTTATGGTTTCCAGGCACTTTCCAAAGGTGTCAGACGCTGGGATCCTTCCTGACAAATCTATCATGGTGAGATGCGAACCCGGGTCTCATGACCAGAATGCGAATATTCTAACCACTCAACCACGTGCCGTACACTACACTCACACACACACACACACACACACACACACACACACACACACACACACACACACACACACACACACACGAACACCCACCCACGACACACACACACACACACACACACATATATATATATATATATATATATATATATATAGTCATCCACAGACAGATTGAACAGTTTCGCTGTATCAAATCTCCTCAGTGTGGCTAGACGTTCGATTGCTCCAGATTTGTCAAAGTCGCACAGCAGAAAGGATGGCAATTTTAACGTTTTTTTCTATACGAAACACGCCAGCAGCTCGGAGAACTCAATTCATACTTGAAGATATATATATATATATATATATATATATATATATATATATATATATATATATGTAGGCAGTATATCTTCATTCAAAGGTGTTTCGTCGAATAATCTCGATATACACTGTCTATTTATTTTATTTTAATTCTCTCGAATTGTCTTATAGATTTCTTCATGTTGATATTAAATTCATTAAGGAATTGCTTAATTAAGAATTCTTAGCAATTTACCACTGAAGATGATCTCGGATGAGATTGAAAGTACTTGGGAAAATAAAAATGAAATTAAAAAATACGTTGCCTTCAACCAAAAATTCTTCAATATATATTTTCTGTTTAGACGTTTTTTTTATGGATACAAATATTTAAGTAAATTCTCTGTTTACAATATACAGTATTAACAACATTTACCGGCCTGAATGACCGGGAAATTACAAACATGTGTCCTCCGATAGGAATCGAACCTGTATCCTAGGCGGAACTATCATATAGTCTGACGTGTCATGCCATTTAGCTACAGAGGAAGCGCCTTGTTAGCAAGGTCGAATTACTGTTTTTAAACAGAAACTATATTAAAATAATTGTCGGACTTCGTCCATTTCATAATATATGGCGTATTAAGATATGAGCGTTCGAGGGAAATCATGGGAAATTTGTAGTTTAGATTGTATTGTCATTTTTAGGATCAGCTGCCATTTTGATCTTATGAAACCGATCAGACTTAGTATTAAGTAAATAGATGCGTCAGCATTAGATACTGTGTTGAGAAATGATGTCATCATGAAAGACATTGATGAAAATTAGGACCAACGAGCCCTTGGGCAAATTTGCATTAATAACTAGCAGTAGCGCCCGGCGTTGCCCGGGGATGTAACAGTAAGATATAGATCAAGTATCGACCATCATAAAGACTGAAAAATAAAATTGACAAAGTTTATTGTTTAAGGTTGACGGACACGCATGTCTTAATTATTTTTTTTTTTTTACGAATTGGTCAAACTCAAACAAAAACATTGTTTTCAATCGTTATGAGTCTACCGATTGAATAGAATTTTATTATAAACAATTGTCTTGTAAATGGAATTTTTAAAGCATTCTGAATGTAAAAATAAAGAAAAAAGTGTGCAAGACAATAAGAAAAAAAAGTGAAGTTTTGTTGAAATCGGTTGAAAAATGTAGGAAATCCGATCCCATATATAAACGAACACACACACACACGCACACAAACAACCTGTTTTATAATAAGTATAACTCGATATGAGTTGTCCCCCTTTAATTCTCGCGATGCCTCTTAATCGTGTTTTCAAATTGATTTTTTGCAAAAACAATTGCGTTTTTCCAATTTTTGGCGCTGTCAGAACTACCGCAAGGTGATTTTACGCCGTCATATGAAGTTTTGTTGAAATCGGTTGAAAAATGTAGGAAATCCGATCCAATATATAAACGTACAGACAGACACACACACACACAACCTGGGTTTTATAATAAGTATGATGTGAAAGAAAAACACTGCGATGTGACATACTTAACGAATTCAAATCAAGAGTTGATTAGGGGCGATGTGAGAGACACACACGCAAATACATACACACCCACACATATATATATGTGTGTCTGTACGGGTGTGTGTGTGCTTGCGTGTGTCTTTTGCGATCTGTTGGGTTGTTTGAATTTGTATGGCATCGACTGAAGATCGAACTCACTACTCAGTAGTAATGGACAACCAAACTACTTATTTACCTACGTGGAGGTATCTGGCGATAAATTCTGCTATGAAAAAGTATTCCAAATGATTTTACGATGAAAATACATTGAAAAGTGATTTTATTATGAAAAAGCATTGAAAAGTGATTTTACTTTGAAAATATATTGAAAAGTGATTTTACCATGAAAATGCATTGGAAAGTGATTTTATTATGAAAAAGCATTGAAAAGGGATTTTACTATGAAAATGCATTGGAAAAGGATTTCACTATGAAAATGCATTTTAAATGATTTTAATATGAAAATGCATTGGAACATATTTCACTATATAGAATAATGCAAGGGTTCACCGGAGGTGATACAGAATGAATGGACTAGTGATTTTGTTGTTTCTATTTCTTTTTGGTTGGCCTATTCTATAGACTTCTACAGGTTCAGCAAATATCTCGTCACACAAAGTGTTTACTTTAGTAGTATGACATCTGATGAAAATGTCTCGGGACTGTTTCAGTGGTAACCGAGCTAAACTACGCCGAGTGTGGCCGCTTGGCTCAGGCTGACCTTAAATTTCTCATTAATTTTAGCAGGGCTTGGAAGCAAAGTGTGCGTAATGTGTGGTCATTTCACGAAAGTACATAGCTTCCATCAGTGACCGTGGCTTGTACCGCAGTTTTTGATTAAGCACAACATTTTCCAGGTTCGACAACCGCCATTTCCTCAGGACTCTCCTCTTGCGACTTTTCCCTCTTCCATAAATCAAATCCCACATGAAAGGAACAAGATTTCAAGACGTTGAGGACATCCAAAAGAATGCGATGATGAAGCTGCTCACTTTCCTCAAAAAGGAGTTCAAGGAATACTTTCATCAATGGAAATGACACTGGATAAAGTGCGTTGCATCAGAAGGGGACTTCTTCAAAGGGGATTAAATGTTGAATTGGTATGTTTTGTAGTTTTCTTTTTCATAGCATCAGTGCCGATACTTTTTTCATCAGACCTCGTATATAACACATGTATTTAATCGCGAACATACCCTACAGTTCAAAAGTTTGAAGCCACCCTAAAAATAGCATGGGATGAACTTGACAGAAAAAGAGTGAAAAAAAAATGAAAACGAATTTTTAGAGTCATTGAAAAAAGAATGGAATCAATTACCAAACTTATGCGTTGAGAAATTTTTGCAACGAATGCCAAAAATTTGTGCTGCAGTAATCAAGCCAAAAGGAGGATATTTTGAGGAGAGCAAAATTTAATTATAAAATGCGTTTTTGCTTTTAGTCATAATATTCTAATATTTGTAATAAAAATCGTGTCTCACTATTTTTTAACCAAGTATAACAATTTTCTCTTATTTAAAGTACAAAACAGCTACTTTTTGGCAATTAAAAAAAAAACAACAGGGGTGGCCTCAAACTTTTAATCTTTAGCCTACATGTAAATAAATCCATGTTTCTCTCTTCGAGTAAGACGATGTGAAATGCTGACAACGTCTGTGGACCCGTATATGACATCTGAAGTCGAAGGAAGTGGCGCAAATACCGTTGCAGGTAGGACATGCTGGGTGCAAGTGAGGATTTCTTCCTGTCTCTCGAAGCTTACCTTGAAACGCTACGTATGCCAATCAGCTTGAAACCAGTTTGCTACTATGAAACACAGGATAAGCCACTTGACTTTGTTAAAGTATCATGTAACAGAGAATGGCTTCTTAATTGCAATTTTTCCTTAACACTCTCCTTAGATGTTTCTTCGATAATCACACGAGTATTTATAGAAGTCTCTTTTTAATTACTGGGTACATTTTCAGAGTTAGCTCAGTCCAAATATTTCCTTTTCAGAGTTTTGGGGATAGTGTTTTTGGTGAATTATCGAGAAGAACTATTTTTACGATCTTTTCTGATTATTACCTGTTGTATATTATCAGTGTTTGAAAGATGAAGAATAGATGAAGAGTCTTGTATCAGATGAAGTAACTCCAAATATTTCCTTTTCAGAGTTTTGGGGATAGTGTTTTCAGCGAATTATCGAGAAGATATATTTTTACGATCTTTTCCGATTATTACCTTTTGTACGTTATCAGTGTTTGAAAGATGAAGAATGGACGAAGAGCCTTGTATCAGATGAAGTAACTTTTAGTTGTTAGCTTAGAAACTGCACGTTTATAAAATGCAAAGAGGTACTGGGAAAGTTCGTGGATTGTATGTACTGTGAGTGTAGAGTAGGGCAGGTTGATTTTTCATATCTTTTAAATATCGACATTGCACGTATTGTGAAAGCTGGGCTTTGATTGGATAAATATTGTCACGAAAAAATAGATTTACGAATGTTTGAGCATTTAGTTTTAAAAATAGTCTAAAAATGTACAGAAATACGTAATTTCTGCAGGTTTTTGCTTAGAAACGAACTTCAAAATTTTACTATTTCAAGAATAAATACAAATAAAGTTGGTATCTTTTGTATTAGATACATTGAATAGAATCAAACCAGAATTTTAATTATGAATCACCGCAAACAAAATATGCATTTTTTTACTGCATTCGATAAATAAAAAACTGTGTAAAAAAAAAAAAAAATGAACATTATTGCAAAAAAGGCTGTTCAATGAATAAGATTTGTTAGATCATTTGATGAGAATCAACAAAATAAAAACAAAAATATATTCTTCTGTTTTCCAGCTTGTTGGAAGTCCTTTGATCTAAAGAACTTTGGAGAACCTTCTGACCCCTCTAAATATTACCCTATGCTGAAGTGGGTTAATTAGTACTATTTTTAATAATAAACCATTATTATCTAAAAAAAAAATTCTTGCAATCTAAAATATTTTTTTGGATCTAAATGAACTGCAGAGGTCCATTAAAATGAACGAACGAATGACTGCAAGCAACAAACCGGAAGAGAGTTGCATAAGCGGGAGGTTCTAGGGAAGAAACTATTGGCTTAGTTGTACTATCTATTTTAGTTTTTGTTGCAGGTCTTCAAAACCTTATTTAGGACCAGTTCTGTAAGGTCAGTCTACAAGGTTTGAAGCAGGATGGTCCTTACTAAGACCTACTGGCTTCAGTCACTCGGACCCATTTTTAACGATTGATCTGAACGAGCTTGTCACTATGCGTAACATCCATATGGAAGTCTCAGTCTGATGAGGGCATTTAAGGACATGACTCGAATTTTCAGCTTAATGTTTTTGTTTTATAGCAGTTTGTGGTATTGGGTGAAACTACACCGAGTGCAGGCTGAAGCATTTATAAGATATTTGAATTCGGAGATCAGACCTTAGGCAACCCTTTTAACAAAGATGCATAATTACTGTCTCCAACAATCAATACTTAGTCCTTTCTTCTCGCTTTCCTTTACTAACTTACTTTATATGTCACATTTTCCATCGTTTCCAAGACACTGTAACACATTTTCAATATTTTCACATATGTGTCGTTTTCAGTAAGGAGATTAATGGAACAAACTAATCATAGCCGTTTGCCGTGTGTCGTACTAAGTTAAATAACGATATTATCTATCTATCTATCTATCTATCTATCTATCTATCTATCTATCTGTTACTATCTATCTGTTTTAATCTGTTACTATCTATCTATTTCAATCTGTCACTTTCCATCTATCTATTTCAATCTGTTACTATCTATCTATCTATCTATCTATCTATCTATTTCAACCTGTTTCTATCTATCTATCTATCTATCTATCTATCTATCTATCTATCTATGTGTCTATGTCAGTATCTATCTATCTATCTATCTATCTATCTATCTATCTATCTATCTATCTATCTATCTATCTATCTCAATCTGTTTCTATCTATCTATCTATCTATCTATCTATCTATCTATCTATCTATCTATCTATCTCATCCCTTCCTCCCCTCCAATCCACAACACTCTCTACATTTATTATTTTTCCACATCCTTCTATCAATTACTATTCTCGTCTTTCTATAAACATTCCATTTTTTTTAATTATGTGTTTTATTGGTTAGAATTACTCTTAGTCTTCCTTGTCTTCTTAAATCCATTTTAATTATTTGTTCCCCATTTAATTTATCGCAACCCGTCGTCCTACATGTGTGCCGAGGGATAAAATAACCAAAATCCACTTCAGATGGGCATGTCCCTAAGAAATCACCTCCTCTGTAACAAATCAGTTTCTGATGCCGGAAGCGGAAGTGCTCGGTGTACTGGACAATTTCTCACAACACCAACATGCATGGATGTAAGATGTCACGTTAATTGTGTCCAAGTACCAAACGATGGTCCATCGAGATAGCAGTAGGCAAACAGCTCTTCTTGTTATTTCTTCTTTTTCATTTTTCTAGTCTTTTCTGTCTGATTTTTTTTTTCTTCTTTTCAACTTCTTACATTCGGCCCCTTCATTTGGTTTCCACCAATTCTTCATCCCTTCTTATCTTCCTTCTTTGCTCTTTTCTTTCTATACAGTTATACACGCCCACATTTTTCTTTTTTTCATTCTTTCTTTCTTTCTTTCTTTCTTTCTTCAAAATGGTTCTTCTTCCTCTCTTTTTTCCTTTCTTCTTCAATTCTTGCCTTTTCTCTTTTCTTTCTTTCTTTCTTTCTTTCTTTCTTTTTCTTTCTTCAAAATGGTTCTTTTTCCTCTCTTTTTTCCTTTCTTCTTCAACTCTTGCCTTTTCTTTCTTTCTTTCTTTCTTTCTTTCTTTCTTTCTTTCTTTCTTTCTTTCTTTCTTTCTTTCCCTTTGCTTACGATCATCTTTCTTTTGAAGCATTCTTTCTTTCTTCCTTTAACAGAATTCTTTTTTCTCTCTCTTTTCTTTCTTTCTTTCTTTCTTTCTTTTTTTCTTTATTTTGAAGCATTTTTCTTTTTTAGCTTTCTTTCCTTTCGTTCATTTTGAAAAAAAATTATTTATTGATATTATTTCTTCATTTTGAAACATTCTTTCTTTCTTTTTGTTCATTTTTTCCTTTCTTTATGGGTATTAATTCTTCCTTTTGCAACATTCATTCATTCATTCTGTCTTTCTCACTTTTCTTTCGTTCATTTTTTCTTTCTTTCTCAGCATTCTGTCTTTCTTCCTTTTGCGACACTTTCTTTCTTTCTTTCTTTCTTTCTTTCTTTTCATTGCTTTCCTAAGCTCTGTCGTCTCACTCTTTCTCACGTCTCCACATACCCCATTCCCTTCACTTTATCCTCTTTTTTCACCAGAACCACTCTTCCCCTCGTCTTTTTCTTCAAGCCATTGCATCTTCAGTCTCCCTTTCTACAGGTACACACACACTCACACACACACACATACACATACTCGATCTCTCTCTCTATATCACACAAACATAGACACACACACACCTGCCATTCTATCACTACCCGCTTGAGCAGTATCCATCTTGCAAGGCATGTAGGCAGCTGTCGTAATGGTGGAAGTGCATCTCGAGCGTTCAGCATTGCTTACATCAGATCGTATCAGTCTCTCGGAGTCGCGGATCGCACTTTACCTTACAAGGATCACACTCTCTTGCGAACAGAGAATGATCATCATGCTAACATGTTGTGTCGATGCGTGCTTGGAGAAGAGCCGAAAAAAAGAACAATGAACGAAACGAGAGAAAAGAAAGAAGGAAAAGGAAGCAAAGAGGCAAATGTATATTTGCAAGTTTTCTATGGCGTTTATAAACACGTCTGTGTGAGCGAACGTTTAGGCAAACCTATACACTATTGAGTTGATGACTGAATAGGACGGCAGTTTAAGCAAATTCTATCTCTCTGTCTGTCTATCTATTTATCTGATTCTTTCTTTCTTTCTTTCTTTCTTTCTATCTATCTATCTATCTATCTATCTATCTATCTATCTATCTATCTATCTATCTATCTCAGTCTGTTCATATCTATCTATCTATCTATCTATCTATCTATCTATCTATCTTGCTTCCTCTTTATTTTCGTCTCGTTATTTCTCTCTTTCCATCTGTCTATATGTCTATCTCATTTTCGCCTTATCCTTCCACGTTTGTACAAAGACGCGTATGTATAAGCGCTATCAGCCTCACACGTGATCTCCCTTATATTCGAGTAAAAATGGAAATAGTTGTACATATATGAAATCCTAGAGGGGGCAAACAGATGATAGATAGAGTCGTAAATATAGACGGAAAAACAGGTTATCTGTTATTGGGTAAAAGAAATAAGAATTTTCAAAAAAGCAAAGAACAGAAAAGATAGAAAGGTCAATAAGGACGCATATTCCTCACCTCACTCCCATATATATATATATATATATATATATATATATATATATATATATATATATATCGTCCTTAGTATGAAAATAAACTACATTCGCGTCCTCGGTAAGACGATAAACTATATCCGACAGCAAGGCCTTTGATCAGGATGTGTTTCCAGGTCCTCTATGATAGCAACTGTTGCGGGGGGGGGCAACTATGGAGAAATAGCTAGGGGTCAAAACGCTATGAAAGTGTAAAAATAGGATTTAATACCAGAAATACACTGTAAAATATTATTACCAGAGATAATTTTTGAAGAAAAAATATTATCAGGAATAGATTTTTGAAGGAAAAAAATATAACCAGCAAAAAAAAAAAAATAAAAAAAATAAAAAAAAATTGCCGACATTAAATAACGCATTGCAGTTGACATGCCGTAAAACAGACCAGACCAAACCAAACCACACACACACACACACACACACACACACACACACACACACACACACATATCAAAATGGAAACAAAATATATCAAAGTCTGTCTATATTTTGAGATGAGGTATTATGTACATTATTTACATTATTCGGACTATTGTTCTCATCTTTGTCGCCATATTTATCACAATGTTTCGGCCGTTGTACTCACCCAAAAAGATTAAAAATTATGGAAGCCTTAATAATAATTAAAAAAAGTCAACACGTGATAATATAAACTACGGACACGTCCACAATCTGCCGTATTTGGAAAATGAAAACATCCCTATAAATCTAGTAAGATATTCACAACCCATACACCCAATTAAAAAGCAAAAATAAAATCATCCTTGATAATGGCTAAAAAGTATCCACATCCGAAAAAGAAAAACATCCCCGCTCGGATATTCACAACCCATACTAAAAAGCAAAAATATTTCGACATTATATATATATATATATATATATATATATATATATATATATATATATATATATATATATATAAAAACGTATCTATGAAAACACGAATGATCTTATACATGAAAATTTATCAAAAGCATTAGTTATACATAGAAATAATTTCAGGCACTATTTCGATCGAAAGAATGCCACACTTATTAAAAGAGAAAGTAACTTACTTAGACGTAAAATTCTTAAGCGTGCCTCTATCGAATATTACGAAAATATATATCTGAAAATGTGGAATCTTTATCTTATACGTCCTTTCCTGAAAGCGTTATTTATTTCTCAAGCCAACATACAAAAGGTTAAAAAAATTAAAAGTGTAGGGTAAATTCAAAAGCTTCTATTATTTAAGTTATGAAATACATAAATTAATTTCATAAACTAAGATATTATAAATATTAATTACATTATAAACAAAAACTCAGCAACAATACCATTTACTCACTTTCGTTTATTAGACATTAAATTATATCACTTAACATCTTCCATAATTATCTTTACTTGACATGCCGGGCGTAACAGCAAAATTGTCTAAATGGTGTAACGGCAAAATTGTCCATTTGTTAGATTAAGCTTTGAGCCGTTGTATCTTAGAAATGATTAAAGACATCATACTGGAATCTCCGAGGGTTTTATAGCTCTGTTGGGCTCTGCTTTGAGCAATAAGAATGTATAAGGACATGTTTATCATTAATTAGTCATAGCTAAGGATTGAAAACTCCTGTTCTGGAGTAAAAAGTTGCCTCACAGGTTTCACGTACGATTTCATTTTTAAATTTTTTTCACTGCTTCTTGGATTGCCATAGCTGAAACTCCTCTCTCGCGTGACAAAGAGAAGTAAATGAAAGCTCTAGAGAGGGGTAACAGACGAGGAAACAGGAAGGCCTAAAAGTGAAGGTGGGGATTAAAATTTAACAGGGAGGCGTTTTAAAAAGAGGAGTTAAATGACACACACACACACACACACACACATATGTGTGTGTGTGTGTGTGTATAAACAGGGGAACAGGGGGGCTGTTAAATGACATATACAGTAAGTTGATATGATTGATATGTTTGTATAATCAATACGATATATTTTGTATCCACGCTTTCCTTTTCATTATTGTAAACCTAATTTTGCCCCCACACACACACACACACACACACACACACACATATATATATATATATATATATATATATATACACACAAAATAATGTTTACAGTGATTACATATATATATATAATCACTGTAAACGTTATTTTAGTGGATACGCATATGTCAGTAGTGGCTCCATTTATTTATCTCCGATATATATATATATATATATATATATATATATATATATATATATATATATATATATATATATATATATATATAGATAGATAGATAGATAAATCTAGTGGGCCAGACAAACCTACCCAGGTTTCACCTAAGCGGATCGTCAGGGAAAGCTGCTACATATTAATTGTTTACTTGTGTCGGTTTTTTTTTCTTTGGGCTTTAAACCTGTATCTGTGCGATTTTTTTCGACAGACTTTCATGTTTCTAGTTCTTTCTTTTTTTAAACCTTTTTTTTTCCTTCGAGATTGATTTGATTATTGGCAAATCAAAATTCGAAGGTTTTTTCAAAACAGTATAGTTACCTATATTTATATTTACAAAGCTCTATGTTACTCTATCGAGCACTGTTTTAAATCAACTAATATGGAACGTATATATATATATATATATATATATGTGTATATATATATATATATATATATATATATATATATATATATATATATAGTCATCTACAGACTGGTCATCAGTGTGGCAACAGACATTTTCCACTAAGCTATCGGCGCACAATTGAAAGAAAAGCGAATTATTACGAATTTACTCTGTGAATAAGCACGCCAATGGCTGACAGTGCTCAAGTCAGAGAGGTCAAGAGCCTTGTAATAATAATAGTCATTGTTTACAAATTCGCACTCATCCTTCAAGACTGCATAACCAAATTTAAATTTTTCGGGTGCATATATATTGTCATCCACAGACAGATTGTTTCGCTGTTTCACAGCTCATCAGTGTGGCTAGACATCTGATTGCTTCAAGCCGGGATCGAAATTTGTGTGTGTGTGAAAAAGTGTTATGCTCCAGAATTTATAAATTGTTTTAAAAATTGACAGAGCGTTTTCTTTTTCTGTAAAAGGAACCTTTCTTTGTCCAGTTTATCTAAAACTACCATATATATATATATATATATATATATATATATATATATATATATATATATATATATATAAAATGAAAAACAGACCACTTTAAGGTACCATTACAATAATTTATTTCACCAAAATCATTTTCCTCTCATTTCATTGTTGGAAGTGTTACCTGATGATCCGAAATCCTTTAGAAAGGATTTTGGTGAAATAAAGTATTGTAATGGTTTCAAAAGTGGTCTGTTTTTCATTAAATATTAGTTCTGTTCTTCACATTGAGCTCTCAGGATTTCATCCTCCTTGGATTTACCAATTCGGTTTACCAAGTTCTTCATAACTTAAATATTTTATATATATATATATATATATATATATATATATATAGTTTATGCAAACTTAGGTAATCCGTATGGGTAGACCTGAGGAGGATGATATCCAGAAAACTCAATGTAAAAAATTCAAACAGATATGTTTGAATAAAAAGACAGATCACGTTAAGATTCCATGTAATAAGCTATTTCACCATAACCCCTTT